AGCAGAAAAACGATTTCATGAACATCGTGCGCAATCAGACTTTAACTAAAGCCGATATCAAGACGCAAACCGAGCAATGGGCTGCCAACATTGGAGGAACCGTTCAAGTAAACTCTTTCATTTGATTAGATCTATTGATTAGACATTGATTAGACAAATGGAAGACTTTGATTTTTAAAGAATAATCTTTAGTCCTCGTTCACTGAATTCGAGGCCAACATGACCCGATGGAAGCAAGAGTCTCGCCAAAACCAGACAAACATTATCAACCAATTGCCCGCGCAACTCCAAACCCTGCAAGCAATTCAAGATGATATGTCGCTCACAAAAGCTCAAGAAAGAGACCAAATTATGGTAGAGTTATAAGGTTTATTTGTTATTGTTGATTTTCTAGCAATTCTTTGGTAACATGACTGACCGCAATTTGGCTCGAGCCGTTAAATTCATGTCAATGGTTGGAATGAGACCGATGGGACCAAGGGGATCACCAATGAAAGGCGGAAAAGGAGATATGAAATGGGGAATGATGAATAAGAGAGGACCGATGGGAATGGTTGGTTTATCATTTTCAATTCTTACAATTTACAATCAGAAGCTCTAAACTTGTACAAGCTATACAAGCTGTTAGAACTTGTACAATTAGTACAACTTTTACATGCTTACAACTCGATTAATTTTCTGTTAATTGACTTCATTTCTAGGAAAACAACGACAAGGATGAGTCAGCCGATCCAGAGTTCTAAATCTTCTTTAACAAAACGCCCTCATTTCTCTCAACTCATGGCTATTTGTCTCTTGAATTCGAATTTCACAAAACTGGGTGAACGCTGATCTGACTGTGATATTACTGTATTTGGTTTTGATAAAAGATTTATTGCATTTGATACAAAACTATTTCCCGGTGAGTTGATATGGACAACACTCATTGTTCGAGTTACAACGGAAAGTGTCTGGGCATTGATTGTTGACACATGGGCCTGAAGTTGAGTGGTTAGAAACTACAGCAACTACAGCAACAAGAATCGATTTCTAAGCAAAAAAGTAAGCCCAAATCCTCACCAACACTTGTTCCATAAGCACAACGACAGCATACTCCGTTCACAGTGCAAGTGAATCCTGAAAACAACAAGAATTGAGTTGCTTGCAACAAGACTTGCTATCATTTCTAATACAGTTTGTCATGTTGTGGATTGGTTTGCTAATTGCTAATTGATAATATTGCTAATGAACCGCTAAAAGCAAAATAAACAGACTAACCTGAGGGACAGCGATAACCAGGAGATGTACAAAAGCCACCAGATGTTTCACGACCACCGCATGTCGGTTGTTGAGGAGATGGAGCTAAAGTAGGATTTACACATTTACTCTAGCACTAACAGATAACACTTACTCGTCGTGTGTCCTCGTCCATTCTTGCAACAATTATTCACACATGACCAATTTCTATTGAAGCTTGCGCACCAGCTCGATGTCCGACAAATATAGTTGCAACTGCGATACGAGGTTTGACAGGCTAAATCACAAGTAATGAACAAGGAAATAACTACTCTAATAGAAGCTCCGCTTTTCTCACTAGCACACTTAGCTTACTGCTTTCTCTTGCTGCTTTAGCTTGCTGCTTTTAGCTTGCTGCTTTAGTTTGCTGCTTTTAGCTTGCTGCTTTAGTTTGCTGCTTCTGCTTACTGCTTTAGCTTGCTGCTTTTAGCTTGCTGCTTTCTCTTGCTGCTTTTAGCTTACTGCGTTAGCTTCCTGCTTCTAGCTCACTGCTTTAGCTTACTGCTTTAGCTTCCTGCTTCTAGCTCACTGCTTTAGCTTACTGCTTTAGCTTCCTGCTTCTAGCTCACTGCTTTTAGCTCACCGCTCACTTAATTTAACGTTTAAAACTAACGCGTATTCGACAAGTAGTAATTCCCATTGTTTCCACAAAGATACAAGACAGTGTATCGCGAAACAGCGGTGTTTGATGAGCTTGAAGATAATTGCGCAGCTGGCGCACTGTTCTCTGGCTCATAATAGACTTGTGAGAAGACGATTTGTAGAAATAGTGATCCGAATATCAATGCGAACAGCATCTTTGATGGCTCTAAAATTAAGAAAATAAAAAAAAGCAAACAGCATTAAAAATAAGCAAACAATATATTAACGCAAAAATAAAGTGAATAAAATAAAGCACAGCGAAGAAGGACGGGTTCTTTTGAGAAACGGGTTTTACAAGTTTAGCGATGAAATTCGGGGGTTCTTTTGAGAAAATTCGTGTTGGTAATGCTTGTAAAATGCTTGTAATGCTGTTTGCTGAACAAATGAAAAAGGTGAAAAAAATCTTTGGAAATTTTAAAAGTAAGAATTTCTTGAGAATTCTTCGAGTCGGTCATCTAAACCGACTTACACACCTTGTACCTCAACCTAAATAGTCATCTCGAGAGAATTTTCACTTCGTCAACAACTTTTCTCAATGCCGTAAAAATTTGTAGAGTAAAAGAGTAAATAAAACGTTTCCTTTCGTATTTTAGGGCAAACAGAAGTGATTTTTCAGTCTCAAGAAGGGGGTGACGCCCCGGAAATTTATTTTTGTCAAGTGATGTCACTCGTAAACAATCATAACTTACAATTTTTGATCTTTACTTGGTTTTGCCAAATTTTCAATGCATTTTGTTTGTTTGTTTGTTTGTTTCAATCAAAATAAATCTTTCCAAGTTTTCGTTTACATTTTAGCAAAATTTCCAAGTACTTTTCCAAATTCCAAGTATTTTTCCAAGTTCCAAGTATCAGTTCTCAATGCTTAGCGAAATGTTTTCAAGTTTCAATTTGATTTTTTTTTGAGCAAAAATGTCTTCTTAAGAGAAGAGTACTGACTCTTAAGAGAAGAGTACTGACTCTTCTCTTAAGAAGAGGAAGTACTCTTCTTAAGAGTCACGAAACCATTCAAGTTTCTCACTTGGATTGAAATGTTCTATATAGGTCTCGATATGCTGCAATATTAAAGGAAACCTTCACTTTCCAGTTCATCATCGATTCACAGAAGTTTTGGCTCGTTATTCTATTGGAATAGTGTCTCTTATATTATATATGTTGTGTCCGATTTAGATTACAGTCTATATCGGACGTCTTATATAGATTGAACAATAATATAAACATGTTTAATATACGTTCTTAAGCGTTTTCTGTAGTTTTCTGCATTTTCAAAGGTCTGTTACTGTCTTTTTTCTGAAAAGAAAACCAAACTATGAAACAATTTATTAGCGTTAGCAGAATAGATGCAAAATTACAACATACGACAACAAAAAAACCAACAACAACAACGAACGAGTTAAAAATTTCTATTTATTTTTGCAGCTTAGGCTTAGGCTATTGTGACATCTTGAATTGCAGAGTCGGCCATCCTTTTTGCACGAACATCGATTGGATGAGCATTTTCCAGCACATAAGCAATGTTTATGGCCTAATGGAACACACAAAAATGAAATAAAGTTATAGTTACTTACCTTGTTTCCCGTGAATAGAAGAATAGAAGTTGTTGTGCTGGCATCTCTCCGCTGCCATTTTTCTCGCCCACATGATAAAGCTGCGCTCCCTTTTGTTCAATTACGAGCGCAAATCTTTTCAGCAAGTTGTTTTCGTGGTAGTTTTGTGGTAGTTTTGGTTTCTCGGAGTTTTCACGATGATTGTGGAGCGTTTCAACCATCAAATTGTAGGTTTCAGCGGTTGGAATTTGTCCTTTTGTAAAAACACGTCAAATTCTTCGTCAAAAGGTCCCCATCTGTAAAAAAAGCAGCATTTAATAGGAAAACAAGAAAACAAAAAATTCTCAAAAAAGACAATAAAATTTCTTTCAAAAGCGCAGAAAATTGCAAAAAACGCTTAAGAACATATATTAAGCACGTTTATTATTGTTCGATCTGTATCGGACGTCCGATATAGACTGTAATCAATAAAAGACCTTTGAAAAATGCAGAAAACTACAGAAAACGCTTAAGAACATATATTAAGCATGTTTATATTATTGTTCAATCTATATAAGACGTCCGATATAGACTGTACGACCCCATGAAGCGACGTCGAAATTCTGAAATTTATTGATTATAATTCTAAAATTAGGAAACTTTATTAATTAAAATTCATCAGAATTTAGAAAAAGAAACCCTTACCGTCCACAATTCTAATGGAAGTCCAAACGGGGGACTGTCCGGGAGATCTTGAAGAATTGATTGAGACAGCGATTCCTAGAAAAGAATATATTAATAAAAATTAAATGATATTAAGTTATCAAATGATATTCAGTTATCAAAAACAAATAATCAATAGTTTTTGGTTTATTTTATCAAATTTCTACAACTCACCATCGATCCTTTGCAATCTAAATGTTTATATTATTGTTCAATCTATATAAGACGTCCGATATAGACTGTAATCTAAATCGGACGTCCGATATAGACTGTAATCTAAATCGGACGTCCGATTTAGATTGAATCTAAATCGGACGGAAATCTAAATCGGACACAACATATATATAAGTGTCTACTTATATTCATACAAATATGGAGTCTGAGCGGCTATTCCAATAGAATAGCGAGCCAAAACTTCTGTGAATCGATGATGAACTGGAAAGTGAAGGTTTCCGGGTACCGTGTCGTTTTGCATCAATGATTTTTCTCTTCTGCTATATTCTCCTGATTGCAATCCGATTGAACATTTGTCATGTAAAACGACGATTACATGGATATCTATTTACTTCAAAAGATGAGCTTTGGAAGGCAAAGAGTATGAGATTTAGAAGTCGATCCTAGTGCTGACGCTCGAGAAACTAGTTGCAATGTTTAAGGTTCAATGTTTAATGCGCAATGCAATGTGCAATGTTCAATGTTCAATGCAATGTGCAATGTGCAATGCAATGTTCAATGTTCAATGTGCAATGCAATGCAATGTTCAATGCAATGCAATGCAATACATTTAGCATGTTTTCCACATCAGTAAAGCTTTATTTGTCGTTTCAAATCAAATTACAACTCTGTTTCCTCGTCGTACATAGCATCGATCTCAGCCATGAACTTTTCCCTGCAAGGTTGGCGCCGAATCTTCAGAGTTGGAGTAAGCAAGCCAGACTCAGCAGTTAGCTCCTAAAGCAGGAATCACATTTTTGAAGCTACACAAAACTGAAGAATTCTATAAGTGAATTCTAAAACTAAGAATTATGGAGCCTTATAGAATTATAAGGCTTAGCAGATTTGTTTTTAAAAAAATTACTTCAAAGGTAAGATACACTCTTCTCAGAGTCTCGATCGTTTGCAAGCCTTTCGATTTTCCGAATCCACTCAAGTATTGCGTCATGAACCTAGATTAGAATCGATTAGAATTTTGAAAAGCCAACATCAAACCTTTTGATCGGCTCCTTGCACAGAAACTCCTCCCCATCAGCAGATAAGCAAGCTTTTGTCTAAAATGAGAGATTGAAGCAAGATTGCTTTACAGCTTTCGAAGATGAACTCTCACCTCAGAATCCCCATTTTTCTCAATCTCTTTCTTCAATGTTTCCACTTCAACAACAACAATTCCCACCAAAAACGAGCGAGTACTCAAACCGGTGACAAAGATCTAAACAATTTAGCCATTCAAATAACACTAACTCAAGATCTAACCTGATTCACGAGTGGACTCAAGCCAAGAATGCTTTCAATCGCTTCAGCTGAGACAAAATCCCCTTGCGCTAACTTGAAAAGAGCATTCTTTCGATCAATAATCTTTAAACGACCATCTGGCAGCCACTCGCCAATATCACCCGTGTGCAGCCAGCCCTAGAACAGACAACAAGAAATATAACACATTGAATTTAAAGCAAGCTTAGCAAGCAAGCAAGCAAGCAAGCAAGCAAGCAAGCAAGCAAGCAAGCAAGCAAGCAAGCAAGCTTAGCAAGCAAGCAAGCTTAGCAAGCAAGCAAACATCTAAAAACCCTACCTGCTCATCAACCGTTTTCTTTGACAATTCTTCATCTCCAAAATATCCCTTCATTACAGCAGCGCCACGGAAGCAAACCTAAGAACATTTGATTTTAAATGACTAAATAAAAGCTAACCTCTCCCTTGTCGTTCGCAGACAAGTAGCCGAGTTCTGGAACATCAACCAATTTGATCTAAACAATAAACAAATAAATTTGGATTTAATAATTAATAATTACCTTTTAAACTACACATAGCACATCAACAATTACCCTTTTGTTGTTTGAAATGAAATAATTCATAGATCACCATTTCTCATCTCGATTTCTCTTTTCAATTAGCTCAATTAGCTCAATTTGTTGCGTGTGTTGTTGTTGTTTGTTGTTTGTTGTTGTTGTTGTTGTTGTTTGTTGTTGTTGTTTGTTGTTGTTTGTTGTTGTTGTTTGTTGTTGTTGTTTGTTGTTGTTGTTTGTTGTCAAATTGTTTGAATGAGTAACTTTGTTATGCATTTATCCGAGATTGGTCAAGTTATTGTAACTTGCTAAATCGGTATGCACGTCCGGTAGAACATGTTGGATGATATGATCAAGGTTTTGAGCATCAACCAATTCAATAGCCCTGCTTCGTGTCTTCCACTATCTCTCCAAATAACAAATCCTTGCGAACAACTCCGACATTATTCTTTAGCAACGTTAGCTTCATCTATACTAACTGTCAATAATGTATTTGTCCTCCAATCGCTGGTGCATCGAGATAGCTATCGTCTTAGCTATCGTCTTAGCTATGGTTTTAGCTATTGTCTTAGCTATGGTTTTAGCTATCGTTTTAGGTATCGTCTTAGCTATCGTCTTAGCTATCGTCCTAGCTATTGTTTTAGCTATCGTCTTAGCTATCGTCTTAGCTTCGACTAAGACGTCTCGAAACCATTGATGCCATTGGACAACTGTGTTGACATTCATTTCCACGTCGGACAACAATACCCGTTCAACAAGGATGACAACAATACCATTCAAGTACGCGAGTCTCTTTCGGATTTGATTGCAAGTTGAGGCCAGTTGATTCAAACTATTCAAACTATTCAAACTATTCAAGCTATTCAAGCTAATCTAGCTAATCCCGTGCAGCTAATCCACCCATCAAAACTATAACAACAAATCCTTACTTGTGCCCAGGGAGCAGGCGCACCAACATGTGTTCCACCAGTGAGGTCGCCCGGGAGATTCAACGTTCCAGCAGCTCCGCACTCAGTTTGACCATAACTAAATAAAAATAGAGAAACAGTCGAAAATAATATTTACCCCTCAAAGAGCGGACATCCAAAAGCAATTCTCGTGAAATCGTGCACAGCTGGTGTCACCGGCGCTCCTCCTGTCGTCAAGTAGCGTACTCGACCACCGATCACTAGTCGGATCTAAACCTCAACTCAGGAATGGATAGCTAACCCAGGGAATGGCTAGCGTGCATTCCAAAACTCCGGATCATCTCAAGGCTAACCTTCTCAAACACAAGCTTGTCCCAAATCGTGTTCGGATTGTTGATTCCACGATGCAACTGCTCAAGTTTCGCCTTTTCGCAGCAGCGAACAGCTTTTTTGCAATGAAAGGCGCTTTGGCAATGTTAGCATGAACCTAAAGAAATTTTGGTTTATCTAAAAACTTTGCAAACTTGATCATATAGCTTGTTAAGGATTCTCGGGACAAGGCTGATCATTGTTGGCTTGAGATTTTGAATGTCTAAGATTAGCTTCTTTAAATCGCCTGAGTAGACGCCCACCCGGCCGCCAGTGTAAATGATGAAAGACTAAAATATAGGGTAAAGGTAAAGGTAAAAGTGTTTTTTGTTCAAAAAAACTACCTGCATTAAATGCTCATAGATGTGCGCTAGTGAGAGGAATGAAAAATAAGTGTCATTGGTGCCGAATTTGAAGTCATGTGGTGGGTGGCACCTGAGAATTGAGTAAACTAGGGAAAAGATAAGTCAAACCATTGCATATAGAGGCCGGACATGGCGGCGAGAAGGTTTTTATGTGTTAGTTGGACTCCTTTCGGTCTGCCTAGAAAGCTAGAGAGTTTTAATTTCTTTTGAAGTTGAAGACGGAACAGTTCTTAAAGCAGTTTGCTTGCACAAGTTGGTTATAGGGTTTTGTTGTTGACAGCTTGTCTTGTCTTGTCTTGTCTCTCTTGTCTCTCTTGTCATCTTGTCTTGTCTCTCTTGTCTTGTCTTGTCATCTTGTCTTGTCTCTCTTGCCTTGTCTTGTCTTGTCATCTTGTCTTGTCTTGTCTTGTCTCTCTTGCCTTGTCTTGTCCTCTCTTGTCATCTTGTCTTGTCTCTCTTGCCTTGTCTTGTCTTGTCCTCTCTTGTTGTCTTGTCTTGTCTCTCTTGCCTTGTCTTGTCTTGTCATCTTGTCTTGTCTCTCTTACCTTGTCTTGTCTTGTCATCTTGTCTTGTCTTGTCTCTCTTGCCTTGTCTTGTCTTGTCTCTCTTGCCTTGTCTTGTCTTGTCTCTCTTGTCTTGTCTCTCTTGCCTTGTCTTGTCTTGTCTCTCTTGCCTTGTCTTGTCCTCTCTTGTTGTCTTGTCTTGTCTCTCTTGCCTCTCTTGCCTTGTCTTGTCTTGTCTCTCTTGTCTTGTCTTCCTTGTCATTTTGTCAATTAGAGAACCAACCAGTTGTGCCTGATGTGTGACAAATTATATAAACATCATCGGCTTTTGGTGGATTCGGCTTGACTCGATTCTCTTCTCCAAGTTTCAAGAAATCGGCAAAGACAAGGATCTGGTTTTGGAGTTGAATTGAATCTTTTTCTATAGAGCTTTCTACAAAGCTATCTACAAAGCTGTCTACAAAGCTGTCTATAGAGCTATCTACAGATCTGTCTACAGCTTTTCTACAGCTTTTCTACTTTTCTACTTTTTCTAACCTTTAAATCCTCAACAGTGCTGATCTCTGAGAGGTTTCCATTTAACAAAACGAGAATCTAAAAAGGATTTCCATCGTAGTTTTGATTTTTCTTTACCTTAACCGACTCGATCAATCCTTCTTTACGTTTTTGAATGAAATCAACAATTCGTTCAGGTGTATCACAAAAGATCAACTCCAGCTGACAAGAGGCAACGATTTCGCTAAACCAAAACATATAGATGACTACAAAAAAAAAGGATTTCAAATGTCGAGCAAATCAAAAGCTTTCCTTCGATTGTTTTGTTCTTATTTTAAACAAAAAAGCAAGCCTTACTGCTTTAGTCGTTTTCTAAAATACATAAATTTTAATTACAATAACGTAGGCTATAGGCTTAGCTTACAATAAATAAAGCACAATAAAGTCTAAATCGGGATATCAAACTTTGACAAACCAAATTGCATCATCTTTTGAGTTGTGATAGAGGGGAACAAGAGCGATTCCCTGTGAGATCAATCCCCACATCGCTTCCTCATAGTTGACTGAGTGGATCCCGGCAAGACCTAGGAGTTCAGGAATTCAGGAACAAATTGATATCTTAGATTAGATTCTGTTCCTCAACGTGATCTGACTCATTGTTCTACAATTTTTCTACAATTTCAGCCTGTCCATTGGCCTGTCCATTGGCCTGTTCATTGGCCTGTCCATGGCCTGTTCATTGGCCTGTCCATTGGCCTGTTCATTGGCCTGTTCATTGGCCTGTCCATGGCCTGTCCATTGGCCTGATTAACCAAAGACAAACCGACTCTCGTCCCAGTTTGAATCCCCAAATTGTAAACGGCCGATCCAATCGTTTCTGCGATCTCCATCACCTGAACAATGAAAACTCTAAGAGCTCAGCTCTAGATTCAGACTTAAGACATAAAATCCGACATTTCCGTCTCTAGCAGTCCGTCGTACACCTATCAACGCACCTATCGTACACCGTCAAAAGAACGCCTATTGGAAAGCTAAGACTGCTAGAGACTGAGCACAAATCTTTTTCAAGTCAAAAGCTCATCTGATCTTGAGATCTCGATCTCGTTTCTTTTAGTTTTCTATAACTCACCTCTTTATAAGTTTTAAAATGATATCTCCCATCGTTTCCGATTTCGCCGAGGAAATCAGCGTCTGGATGAATGGCGGTTGTTCTCTTTAAATTCTCCCACATCGTCGTTACAGTACCGCATGGAGGACCAGTGATTGGCTCTGGATTTTTTTAAAATTTGAATCTTTTGTATCTTGAGATCTTTTGTAACCTTGAGGTATTTTAGGAAAAATCTAGTCTAACGAATTTCTGGAAAATTCGAGCGACGATCAAAGCCGTTGATTTCTCTTTAGCTTATCTGGAAGGCACACTTGAACTTATTGAAATCAGACTTTTGATTTACGAAGTTAGGGCCTATACGGTAATGACAGCATTGAGGTATACGGTAGCTCTAAAGATACGATAATGAAAGTTATATTTTAAACAAATTTTTATATAGCCTGCGTTCCAGGAAGATCCTTTTTTACAATAGATTCTCGACGACGACGTTTTAAGCGTACAATCGTCTAACGGATTTCTAGTCTAACGAATTTCTGGAAGACTCGAGCGACGATCAAAGCCGTTGATTTCTCTTTAGCTTATCTGGAAGGCACACTTGACCTTGTTGAAATCAGATTTTTGATTTTGGAAGTTTGGGCCTATACGGTAATGACAGCTTTGAGGTATACGGTAGCTCTAAAGATACGATAATGAAAGTTATATTTTAAACACATCATTGGATAGCCTGCGTTCCAGGAAGATACTTTTTTACAATGGATTCTCGACTACGGCGTTTTAAGCGTACAGTCGCGTAGTCGTTACTGTTTCGGTGTTTATTTGGGTGTAAATCGAAAGAAAAACGAAAGAAAAAACGAAACTATTATAATCATTTGATAGCTTTAAATCTCCTTTTGAAAACTAATAAAAAGAAAATGAGAACTTTGTGCAAAATGACGAAGAAAAAGCTGTTGAAACGTCATTTGTGCTTTTGTTCGATTCTTTGCACTTAGAAAAGTGTTGTAAACTTTTCAAAACTCTAAGCTAACGTTTAAAATGTACGTTTACTTACCGTTAACAAGAATATTCTCATGGATTCGCTCATCACCAAACAAAATTCGAGAGTATTGAGTGAATTGTGGAGCTTTATAAAAGTCGCGCATCTGAAAAAAAGCAATTTTTAAAGCTTTTATAAGTAATTTGAATTGAAAAATTAACAAAATTGAAGTAAAAGATTGAAAATAAACACAGAAAAATGTCTATTTCATTGATTGTGAATTTGAAAATTGTTAAAAAAACAAAACGAAGCATTTCACAGCAAAACGAGAATCTCTAATGTAAGGAGAAAAGCAAAAAAAATGATCGTATTGATTTTCGGAAAAAAAGAGGTGATAGATATTGATTTAAACAGTGCTAGATCGATTTAACACAGTACTAGATAGCTTTAAACAGTACTAGATAGCCTTAAAACAGTACTAGATCGAGTTAAACAGTACTAGATAGCTTTAAACAGTACTAGATAGCTTTAAACAGTACTAGACAGCTTTAAACAGTACTAGATAGCCTTAAAACAGTACTAGACAGCTTTAAACAGTACTAGACAGCTTTAAACAGTACTAGATAGCTTTAAACAGTACTAGACAGCTTTAAACAGTACTAGATCGAGTTAAACAATACTAGATAGCTTTAAGCAGTACTAGATAGCCTTAAAACAGTACTAGATCGATTTAAACTGTAAAAAATTGTACTAGACAACTTTAAACAGTACTAGATAGATTTAAACAGTACTAGATCGAGTTAAACAATACTAGATAGCTTTAAACAGAACTAGATCGATTTATTAAGCTTTTAAGCTCAATTTCTAGAGTTTTAATCGAATTTTTAAAGGTTTGAAGGCTACAAAAACGGAGATTTTGTTGGAAAACTGCTGAAAAAATGGTTTTCCGGGTTAAAATCTTCAAATCCGCAAGAATTCGAAGAAATAGAAAAAGAAAAGGAAAAGTATGGTGAAAAGAAGATTGAAAGAAAATGAGACTGACCCAGATCCTCAGCAGAGAAAGAGAAGAGAGAAAGAGAAGAACTTGATCGAGAAGAGATCCACTCGACCTCCTCTCTTTCTTTCACTCAATAAAATCCTCATTCTTTCACTCAATACAACCAAAAAAAACCCTCTCAATTGACTAAATTACTTTAGAAATAGTTCTTCAATAGTTGTTCAATAGTTGCTTAATCATTATTCAATCTTTATTCGAAAATTTAAAGATTTTTTGTAACCTTTGAAGATCTTTTGTAAGGTATTTTAGGAAAAATCTAGTCTAACGAATTTCTGGAAGACTCGAGCGACTATCAAAGCCGTTGATTTCTTTTTAGCTTATCTGGAAGGCACACTTGAACTTGTTGAAATCAGATTTTTGATTTTGGAAGTTAGGGCCTATACGGTAATGGCACCTTTGAGGTATACGGTAGCTCTAAAGATACGATAATGAAAGTTATATTTTAAACAAATTTTTATATAGCCTGCGTTCCAGGAAGATGCTTTTTTACAATAGATTCTCGACGACGACGTTTTAAGCGTACAATCGCGTAGTCGTTACTCATTACCTCATTTACCTCATTCTTTCACTCAATACAACCAAAAAAAACCCTCTCAATTCACTAAATTACTTTCGAAATAGTGGTTTAATCTTTATTCATTCAAATCTGATCATTTTTCAGCATTGAAATCCTTGTAACACTTTTTCGTAGCCGTTGGGAATCTGGAATTCATGATCTGGATTTAAAAAAACACAAATTTCAATACATTTTTCCATTCAAGTCTCGACTCGATCGTTTCGCCGAGTTTATTATCGGGGAGAATCTGAAAATCTTAGATTTTAAGAAGCTTTTTCAAAAGCCAACCTGTCCACAAAGTACTGTGTACAAAGCGTCACCGTTTAGGGAACCTGAAAACAAACGTCGACAAAGGCTTTCACAAACAACAAACGTCGACAAAGGCTTTCACACTTTTCAGTTGTACTTTGCTTGGTAAACACAAAGATTCTAGTGCACTTGAGCTTTCTTTTCGTAGTGGAATCAATTCTGAGCTGAATCTAGTATAAAATGGATTATGAATGCTCAGAAAGTAGGCATCATGACCCCAAGTTTAATCTGGTTGGCCTGGCTATGGCCTAGAATTGGAGTGGACTTGATCGAAGGCTAATACGAAATGAAATGACTTAGTTTCAAGTTGGATTTGATCTATTTCTAGCCATCGTTTGGCTTGATTTGACCAGATCTTGATAGGTTTTTATCAAAAATCTAAAAAGAGAACTTAAAAAAGCAACGAGGGGTCGAACCCCGATCGTATGACCTGCAGGTAACCGCCCTCCCGACTGCGCCATTGGGACATAAGAGAAGTGGCAGAAAAATCCGTTGTTATAGCGATCTTTGGACCTAACTCGAACAGATTTGGGGAGGCTTTTTTCAAAAAGTCTCGTCTAAGACCGGGTTTTTCTGGCAGGCGGCCTGTGTAGCCGTGGCGCAGTCGGGAGGACGGTTCCCTACAGGCCAGACGATCAGGGTTCGGGTCCCTTAGTGATACTGAACTGTCATGTTTTTAGTTTTTTATTTTAAATGGTACAACTACAATATAATCTAATGTTTTCTAACAAAGTTTTAGGTTTATTGGTTAAAAGACGGCTGAGAACGGCTGAGAACGGCTGAGAACGGCTGAGAACGGCTGAGAACGGCTGAGAACGGCTGAGAACAGACGAGAACAGACGAGAACAGACAGACGAACAGACAGACGAACAGAAAGACACTGCTCTTTTCTATCTAGTTTCTAAGATTTTGCGAAATTCAACATCAAAAACATTTTACCAGCTAAAAGGTATTCCCGTCCAGCCTCAACGATCAATCCGCAAGCTGGCGGCTCACTTGGAGTGAAGATCTCGTTGGGTAAAGTGCTGAGATTCGAGGGTTTCTAAAAGAATGACTCAAGAGGACATGATTGCTAATTGAAATTCACACTGAAAAGTTTGCTAAAGATGCCAAAATCCAGTTCTTCTAGATTCCAGTCTTGTTTTTCTGTTTTAAATCGTAATAATCAAATAAATGTTGTGCTCACTTTGAACACTTGCAAATGCTCGACACCGTATCGCAAATTGTTGAGTCCTTTCCGGGTTGATCCCTCGGGCAGCGGTTGTTTCGTTATTCGAAGCTTTACTTTAAGGTGAGAAACTGAAATTGAAAAAGGAATTGAAAAAGAAATTGAAAAAGGAATCAATTTACGAATTTAGTTGATACTTTAATTTTGTTTGATCATTTCTAAAATGCATCGACTATTTGGTAACGATTTGGCAACTATTTCATACCTATTTGGTCACTATTTAATACCTACTTGATACCTATTTGGTAACGATTTGATAGCTACTTGATAGCTACTTGATACCTATTTGATAGCTACTTGATAGCTACTTGATAGCTACTTGATAGCTACTTGATAGCTACTTGATAGCTACTTGATAGCTACTTGATAGCTACTTGATAGCTACTTGATAGCTACTTGATAGCTACTTGATACCTACTTGATAGCTACTTGATACCTACTTGATACCTATTTGATACCTATTTGATACCTACTTGATAACTATTTGATACCTACTTGATAACTATTTCATACCTATTTGATAACTATTTCATACCTATTTGATACCTATTTGATACCTATTTGGCAACTATTTAGCAGCTATTTAATACCTATTTAATACCTCTGTACGAGGGTTGATCAGTACTATTACAATACTATTACAATACTATTACAATACTATTACAGTACTATTACAGCACTATTACAGTATTTACGGTACTACGATTTACAATAATACCTCTTTGATACCTATTTACCGTCTTAACCGATTACCGTAAATTTCTCTTTTACAAAATGAACCAAAAGCTGCAAAAAAGTTTGCAAAAAAAAAAAAAAAAGACTAAACTGGATTAAACACTGGGCTAAATTGATTAAATTAAATTGAATTGTGGATTAAATGAATTGGATGTGATGAATGGATGAATTCGGGAAGAGAAATAGAAATTTACTTATGAAATAGACCATAAAATGAAGACATTTTATCGTCTATTTCATCTATTTCATCTATTCGTTTACGGAAATTGATTGAAAAATTGATTTTCAGTTTTTCAGAAAAGTCAAAAAGTCAAAAAGTCAAAAAGTCAAAAGTCAAAAATTTCGACAAAAAAAAACTTGCCCCATGTCGCTCGACAAAACGCGTCTTTCGCCGATAAATCTTGGCATTTACAAGCAAAAGCGATGCTCAAAAAAGGCACAAAAAACCAATAGAAACTTCATGATTTCACTGAAAAATTCAATAAAAATTGAAAAATTGAAATTTTGATTGAAAAATGAAGGATTTGAAACGAAGGATTTGAAACGAAAAAAAGTCTTCTTGACCTGTGAGTCTAAAGGTTAGACTTGCAAGTCTTGTTGATCAAAGAATAACGAGAAAAAGCAGCAAATCGATCAACCAACAATCAAGTCTTCTTGACTTGAAAGTTTTTTTTTTTTAATAATAATACTTTATTCAAACGATAAAGTGAAAGAAATGATAGAGAAATGCACAGTGATATTAGCTATCTATCTATCTATCTATTTTTTTTTTTATTTTTTTTTTTTTTTTTATTTTTTTTTTTTTTTTTTTTTTTTCTTTTTTCGTTTTTTTCATTTAAAAAAAATAATAATAATAATTTAAAAAAAAAAAAAAGGGAAAGAATGATGGAGAAAATGCACAGTGATACTTAATCATACAATACATACTGAAATCAATAAGCCAATTACTTACGGCAAAGAGCCACTAGATCTAAAGCATCGATACGTTTCTTGAATATGAAAAGCGACTGAATTTCTCGTATGTCGTTTGGGAGCAAGTTCCATAATCTAGCGGCTCTAACGGGAAATGAATTTGATAAAGAGGCATTGGAAGCAAAGGGAATTTGCAAAAGGAATGAGCCACTTCTGGGCCCTGACCGCGGTTTAAATTTGAAAAAGTCTATAAACAAAGGGCTAATCTGTTTACAACGGAGGATTTTGAAAGTTTCGACTAAATCAATGACAAAGCGACGATGCTGTAAAGTTTTTAGTTCAAAAAAAGCAAGTCTCTCCTTTTTCTAAAAATTTTCAAATTTCGAGATTTTAGGGTAAAACTGAGATTTTTCTTTAGAATTTTTATAAAAATTAAATTTATTTATTAGATTTTTAAGTCAATTGAGCCATTTTTTTTTTGCGGCAATCCATCATTTTTGTAAAAAAATCATAAAAGAAAAGAAAAAAAAAGCGGAAAGAGGCGAAAAAGATGGGGAAAACGGAGGTGATCGATTGATTGCACAAAAAACTCTTTTTTTTCCTCTCAAGGTTAATCAGAAAATATCAGAAAATATAGAGAAAAGAAATAAAAATTTGAAAAAGATAATCCGAAAAAGATTTCAGATCCCCAACGGCTACGAGGTCGTAATCGGGAAATTTTTAAGAATCAACAGTCGCTAAGTGCACAAGAAAAGCACAGAAAAGCAGAAAAGTCATCTGTTTTCGATAAATATGATTCTCAGGTACAATTGAAGTACAAATTTGTCATCCTTTCTAGTCAGTCAGTCAACAAAAGTCGGATTTTCGAGCGGTTGATTGAGTTCGGGAAATAGGAATTACACCTGAAAATTGACAAAACAAAAAGAAGAGGAAAGAGAAGAGAAAAAAAGAAGAGAAAAAAGAAGTGACTCATCGCGAAAATTCGGTGATTGATCCGGTTTTTTTTTTTAAAAAGATTAATGAGTTTTATAGATTATCTTTTATACATAGTAAAGATTCTAATAGAAGAGTCTATTTCTAGAAGCCTAGAAGCCTAGAAGCCAAGCCTAGAAGCCTAGAAGCCAAGCCTAGAAGCCTAGAAGCCAAGCCTAGAAGCCTAGAAGCCTAGAAGCCAAAGCCTAGAAGCCAAGCCTAGAAGCCAAGCCTAGAAGCCAAGCCTGCCAGAAGCCTAGATAGCCTAGAAGCCAAGCCTAGAAGCCAAGCCTAGAAGCCTAGAAGCCAAGCCTAGAAGCCTAGAAGCCAAGCCTAGAAGCCTAGAAGCCAAGCCTAGAAGCCTAGAAGCCAAGCCTAGAAGCCAAGCCTAGAAGCCAAGCCTAGAAGCCTAGAAGCCTAGAAGAGCCTATTTAGCCATTCTAAATTTTTTTAGCAACAATATGATGTTTCTAATCGAAGAGCTGGCTCTTTATATTTGGGTTACTGAGTTTTGTAACGGTCCAGAAAATGTGCTTTGCTTTCGTTGTTTCCATTCAACTCCGCAAACGATCTAACAATCACCTTTGGCTTTCACTGTGGTCCGGCTATGCGAAATTCCGGATTCTCCACTCGGCTTTCAAATGGAAATTCAAATGTTTTTTTTCTTATTTCAAAGAGAAAAACAAAATTTATCGCGTAAAACAATAATTTCAATTAATCTAAAAAAAGCAAATGATTTGAAAAATGAAAAAGAAACGACAACGCGGTGCTCCCATCGACTACCTCCAAATGATTGGAGTGACGTCAATTGACGTCAATTGGAAATGCGACGTCGCACAGAAAGGACGGAAAGGGGGTAGGCTAGTTTCCGCAACTCACCATAACTTTCTTCTAAGTGGACCAATCTTTATGATTTGTGGTCTCATTTTGTAGATCTCAATAAGTGCAACAAAATGAAATCAAAATCATAAAGATTGGCCCACTTAGAAGAAAGTTATGGTGAGTTGCGCAAACGACCCAGTTGCGCAAATGACCCTGTTGCGCAAAAAAAGTTGCGGAAACTAGCCTACCCCACGGAAAGCACACATCTCTCATTTTTCGTCTCGACTCGGCTTTCAAATAGAAATTGTTTTTTTTTTCTTATTTCAAAGAGAAAAACAAAATTTATCACGTAAAACAATAATTTAAATTAATCTGAAAAAAAAAAGACTCAAAAAAAAAGATGCAAAAAAATGATTAAAAAAAACAAATGATTTGAAAAATGAAAAAGAAACGACAACGCGGCGCTCCCATCGACTGCCTCCAAATGGCGGTGACGTCAATTGGGGATGCGACGTCGCGCAGAAAATTAAATTAGATTTAAAATTAGCGACAGAAATTCAAATGAAATCAGTTTTTAATCATCGAAATCAGTTTTTCTAATTTTAATCGCACTCGATCGACTCCAGCGTTTCCGTGAAGTTAACTGGGTACTAAAAAAAAAAAGTTAACTGGGTACTTTCTCAAAAATTTCAATTTTAACTTAAAATCTGATTTAAATCGATCTAAAATGTCGAAATTTGTCTAAATTTAGCGATTTTATTGAAAAATTTTCTTTTTTTCAAACCTTTTCCCATTTCAATTCGACATTTTTCGGTTTTGGAACGATCTAAAATCAAAAAAATCAAATGCAAATTTCGATTTTCTTCAAAAACCTGATCGCAAATCTCCATTGTCAACGTGCCATTGCTTTCTTTACCTGAAAAGGATTCAATTTTTGAAAAAAGCAAAAAATTCTAGCCGCACCCGGAGTCGAACCAGGGATCACTCTCACGAGAGACTAGGCAGCTATCCACTTGACCAGGACAAAAGTTGTGAATTTTGTAAAAGTTAGTTATCAGAAAGTTGCCGTGAGTTCCAGGATTTACAATGGGATTTCAAAAATCGCCAACCGGATAGCAGAAATTCGTTATCGCCGCCCAACTCGAGCATCACCCCACAAAAGGAGTCAAATGGAGCGGTGCGGATTTCTGGGGAAAGCTCTCGGGTGGCATTCGATGGATACTAAGGTTTTCGATTAAGATTTTGATATTTTAATGTTTTTAGGAACCTTGAACACTTCCAAATGAGTGACGGTGTATTGGCGGATGTGCTTTTCGATGAGCAGCTCGGTCGAGTTGACGTAAACGCGGGAAACTGGAGAAAGAGAGATTTGATAAGCAGAAAAGGGCATAGGCCCAGGCCTTTAATTCAATAATTCAATTTTTGAAAAAAACAAAAGTCTCTGGTCGCACCCGGGGTCGAACCAGGGATCACTCTCACGAGAGACTAGGCAGCTATCCACTTGACCAGGACAAAAGTTGTGAATTTTGTAAAAGTTAGTTATGAGAAAGTTGCCGTGAGTTCCAGGATTTACAATAGGATTTGAAAATGGTCTGGTTTTTTAGGGTTAATCAGAGAATGTCTCTGCGGGGGCGCCGGGTCCCCGGGCTGGCGGCTTCCTGCCGGCGTTGTGTTTTGTAGTTGTTTGGTTGCCGGGTTCGGTTTACTGTTGTGGTCTGGTTTTTTAGGGTTAAATCAGAGAATTGAGCCAGCTATGAACTAGAGATGGCTCAATCCTTTATTTGATGAAATTTTGATTCATATTTGATGAAATTAGGTTAAGCTAATGTGAAATGTGTTTGAAATGTGTTCTAGTGAGAGTTTGTAAAATGTTTTTGGAAGAAAATCGACTGCTTTTGATGCTTTACCCCAATCGGCTTGACAAAACGTGGCGTTGACGGGCGATGGAGCGCAAAGACAAACGGAAATCGAGGGAATAATTGCGAAAATGATCAACAAATAACAAAAGAACATGTTTTTAGGAACAATTTTAAGCAATTTAAGCAATTTATTCGTTTTTCAGCACAAAATTCTTTCAATTTATTTGAAATTTTCGCTTTTCGGCTGAATTTGAGAGAAAAATGACAGAAATTGATAAACAAAAAAGTTGGCGAATGGCGTTTTTCGAATTTCGTTATTTCGTAAAAAATCGCTGAATAGAAATACAAGAAAATGGGGATTTGTAAAGTAAAGCTCTCAGTGCACCAGGTGATTTGTGTTTACAAAAAGACATTAGCTAATAAAGAAAGATGATGAAATGATGGTGGTGAAATGAAATGAGAAACTAGACAATTCTAGACCAAACTAGATTGAAAATTTGATTCTAATTCCGAATTTGCTATCCGTTTTTGTGTTTTGAATCGAAGAGGAATCTGGTAAACATGTTTTTCCTTTTAGGAACATGAAAACAATTGATGAAATGAGGCTGGACACAGTGGAAGGCTGGACACAGTGGAAGGCTGGACACAGTGGAAGGCTGGACACAGTGGAAGGCTGGACACAGTGGAAGGCTGGACACAGTGGAAGGCTGGACACAGTGGAAGGCTGGACACAGTGGAAGGCTGGACACAGTGGAAGGCTGGGCACAGTGGAAGGCTGGGCACAGTGGAAGGCTGGGCACAGTGGAAGGCTGGGCACAGTGGAAGGCTGGGCACAGTGGAAGGCTGGGCACAGTGGAAGGCTGGGCACAGTGGAAGGCTGGGCACAGTGGAAGGCTGGGCACAGTGGAAGGCTGGGCACAGTGGAAGGCTGGGCACAGTGGAAGGCTGGGCACAGTGGAAGGCTGGGCACAGTGGAAGGCTGGGCACAGTGGAAGGCTGGGCACAGTGGAAGGCTGGGCACAGTGGAAGGCTGGGCACAGTGGAAGGCTGGGCACAGTGGAAGGCTGGGCACAGTGGAGGCTGGGCACAGTGGAGGCTGGGCACAGTGGAAGGCTGGGCACAGTGGAGGCTGGGCACGTGGAAGGCTGGGCACTGGAGGCTGGGCTGGGGCTGGGCAAGTGGGGCTGGGGGTGGGGCTGGTGGAGGCTGGGTGGAGGCTGGGCACATGGAGGCTGGGCACAGTGGAGGCTGGGCACAGTGGAAGGCTGGGCACAGTGGAAGGCTGGGCACAGTGGAAGGCTGGGCACAGTTTCTGTTTTCTTTTTTCTAATTCTCATAAATTTTTCAAAAGAGAATTTCAAAAAAGGAAAAGAAAAAAGGAATTGTGGGCAAAAAGGAATTCTTTTCCTTTAAAAGGAAAAGAATTAGATAGAAAACAAGTTTTCCTATCGATTTTCCCCTTATCAATTCGGTTCTTTTTTTCAAAAAAAAAGAATGCTAGAAAAGAGAGAGCTTTTGGGTAAAAATCATTTCCCATCTTTATTTCAGTTATTTAACCACTGTGTACGCCAGAATTGCTAAATAAATCGAGAATTTCGGACGAATATTGGAGATTTTTGTTGAAAAATGATTGTGAACGAAATCGATGCGTGGATTGAGGAGAACAAGAAGGATTTCGTGGCGCCAGTTTGCAACAAGTGCATGTGAGTTTAAAGTATTATTAGAGATTATAAAAGCTTATAAGAAAAGCGAGAAAGAGAAAGAGAAAAGAGAAAGAAAAGAGAAAAAAAAGAAAAGTTTAATAAGTGCTAAAGTTGTTTTGAAAAATGAAAAAATCGTTTTTTTAAACACCTCGCAGACTTGGGCTAAAAGTATCAAGTTATTGTAGTTAGAATTGTACAATAACTGTACAATAACTGTACAGTAATCTAGTTGGCACATTAGTAAAGTCCAGTACATTGCCCACTTCTTTGCAGTTCAGCACCATTTTTTCTTGCTTTTTCTAGGGTAGTCGACAGTGCTGATCACGAAAATCACATCTTTAAGTCAGATTTATGAATAAAAACGCGAGTTTTCGATTTTTGAAAAAGTCTAATGCTAAAAAAAAACTTCTTTCGTCCAGCTTTTAATACAAATTTAAAAGCAGAGCCTCGCCAGGATGCCAAGCCACGCCCCCTCACTTCAAAATCTGGGGGTGGGACAAATGCGACAAATTTAATACAAATTTAAAAGCAGAGCCTCGCCAGGATGCCAAGCCACGCCCCCTCACATCAAGATCTGGGGGTGGGACAAATGCGACCTTTCTTTTGCTGGAAAAGGTCGTAGAGCTTCAAAAATATTTAAATCTAAGGGAATCGTATGCGTAGATTCCGAATTTCGACAAATCACACCTCGCTGACACGTCAAATTTGAGCTAAAAGGCAAAAACTACGCAATTTAACGCTTTTCCGCAGTTTTTGCCTTTTAGCTCAAATTTAACGTGTCAGCGAGGTCTGATTTGTCGAAATTCGGAATCTACGCATACGATTCCCTTATATAGAAACATTTTCGAAGCTCTACGACCTTTCCCCGACGATGACTAAGGCCTTTTCCAGCAAAAAAAAAGGTGCGCAAATGTCCAGGTGCGCAGCAAAAAAGGTCGCATTTGTCCCATCCCCAATTTCTTTAAATTGAAAAATTTGTTTGAATTCTTTCAGGTTCGCGAATCAATTGAAAGTTTTCTTTGTCGGTGGGCCGAATCAACGTTTAGACTATCATTTAGAAGAGGGTGAAGAGGTTTTCTATCAAGTGAGCTTATTTCAAAGATTATTTTAAAGATTATTTTAAAGATTAGTATACTAGAGTGCTTGTGTTTCGAGTAAATTTTTGAGATCACAAAGCCAATGAGGCAAAGCCAATGAGGCAAAGCCAATGAGGCAAAGCCAATGAGGCAAAGCCAATGAGGCAAAGCCAATGAGGCAAAGCCAATGAGGCAATGCCAATGAGGCAATGCCAATGAGGCAATGCCAATGAGGCAATGCCAATGAGGCAATGCCAATGAGGCAATGCCAATAAGGCTTTTCTTTAAGAAAAGCGTTAACTAGGAAAAGAAGTACCTTATTTTCTCTAATGCACCCTGAGCGCCGCCTAAATTCCTCGATATCTCAAGAACCGCTTATCAGGATCTATTGATGTGGGGTTGGGAAATGTAGCTGGCGATGAGATCTAGTGGAGGATTTGAGTGTTGAGCTTCTGTAAAAGCTTGAAAACTGTAAAATAGTCACCAACTCGACTCGCCGGGAAAATACGGAGAAAATAGAGAAAAATAGAGAAAATACGATAAACAGAATATTAAGTTTTAGCGTAAAGGCGGAATGACATTGAAAGTGGTGGAGCATGGGAAAAGGAAAGATCTTGTAATAAATGAAGGTAAACAAAATAAAGATTTGAATTTTTTCTATAATTCCAGGTGAAATCTTCCTACTACCTTCTAGAGTCGAACATTCACCACAAAGATTTGAAGGAACGATTGGATTTGTGGTTGAGAGAACGAGAAGAAACACTGAATTTGAAGCTATCAGGTGAGTCTTTAAAGTCAGTCATCATAACCTTATCGAAGCTATTGCTGTACTCTTAATAAAGGAAATCTGGTGGCCAGCTTTAAGCAAGTAAGTTTCCATTAATAGCTAAACTTTAAGAAACGTGATTAAAGTACCGGAATCTGGAACAAGGATCGCTATTTAGCCTTCGCTATTTAGCCTTCGCTTTTTCCCCCCCTTTCGCCCCCCCCCTTTTTCCTTCCCCCCCCCCCCTCCCTTTTTCCTCCCTTCCTTTCCCCCCCCCCCCTTTTCCCCCCTCCTTCGCTTTCCCCCTTCCGCTTTCCCCCCCCCCCCTTCCCCCCCCCCTTTCGCCCTCGCCATTTAGCCTTCGCCATTTAGCCTTCGCCATTTTCCTCTAAAGCTTCTAAAAATCTATTATCAAAAACGTAAACTTTCAAAAACAAAAAACTGGACCGGGGATCGAACCAGAACCTTGCGACTAAGAGTCCTCTTTGTTATCCACTAGGCCAAGAGCCCCTTTTCTGAGGGCGAGAAAGAAGCCTTTTAAAGCATTTAAAGCAAAAAAGTGATTCGGTCTCTTTTTAGATATTTTGTTGACGAAACGACAGAAAGACTTTTCGAACGATGGATTCATTTAACGGATGTTGTTAAAGATTTACCGCCAGTGATTAAAGAATTTAAGGAGTCCGACGAGTGTCAGGTTTCCGATTAAATCAATCACTTATTTCTCTTTCCCTTTCAGACAGGTCAACCCGGAGCGAATTCTTTCAGAATCAATGCACCATTTGAGCCACGATCCACTGATTTAGGATCACCGATTAAACTTGAACAATTCTTGAAAGAAAATGAGGAGAAGTTGAGGTAGAAAGATGTAGAAAGATGTAGAGAGATGTAGAAAGATTGATATAGAAAGATTGATATAGAAAGATTGAGAAAGATTTATATCAATCTTTATCAAGCTATAGCTATAGAAAGATTGATTTCTTTCAAAGTTAACACTTAGATTTTACGATCAATTTCTCTATTAGCATTTAAAATTAGGCTTTAAACAAAAAAAAAAAAAATGAAATAAAACATTTCTTTTTAAGAAAAGAACCCGTTCAACTTTATGGAAAGCCAAAATTCAAAACGGAAGTGATCATTTTTGGTGCAAATGGGGTACACGAATGGATGACAAAGGAAAAAGATGAAGTGTTGCTGTGGCTAAAGGTTCAGAGAATTGAAAGGACGGAATTTAAGCCAGAGAAGCCAGAGAATGAGCGATGAACTCGACTTTTATGAGAAGAAATCTTTCTTTTTAAATCTAATGCCTTTTTAGGATGGGTTTATGCGATTAAAATGGAAAGATGAATGGAAAGAAATCGATGGAAATGCGATGATTCGCGTGGATCCTGGGGAAACGTGAGTCACTTTTTTCGTTCTAATACCCATTCTAATACTTTCCTAAATGGTAAAAGAATACGTAAAACTACTTTAATCCTTACTTAGTTTTAGTCGATTCAAGCCTGTGAATCAAATGAGAGTCAAAGCTAAGAATGAAAGGCTTAGGTTTAGACTTAGGTCAATCGGGTTGTGGTGATCAAATGACATTGCCATGACGTAGAATTTCACTGATTCATTGACGTAGAATTTCTTGCTGATTCCAAATCTGCTTTCCGTTTTTCCAAAGAAGCTTGAGCTTGTCGCTTGAGCTAGCTTGTCGCTTGAGCTAGCTTGTCGCTTGAGCTAGCTTGTCGCTTGAGCTAGCTTGTCGCTTGAGCTAGCTTGTCGCTTCAGCTAGCTTGTCGCTTCAGCTAGCTTGTCGCTTGAGCTAGCTTGTCGCTTTAGCTAGCTTGTCGCTTTAGCTAGCTTGTCGCTTGAGCTTCTCCGGTCGAATCACTCCACATACCATCGTACCAGGTTTACCAGCTTTGATTCCAGATAAAATAGCTTTTGCTCTGTCAAACACATCTCTCAAAAAGAACGATTTGAGCTTGAGCTTGTCGCTTGAGCGTCTCCGGTCGAGTCACTCCACCAAGTTTACAGCTTTGGGTCCAGATAAAATAGCTTTCGCTCTGTCGAACCATTTCCTGTCGCTCGAGCTCCTCAAATCAAATGACTGAATAATCAGCTCCCCTTCGCGGAAATGGTGCTTAGTGTTACTGGTTTTTAGAATGTAAACATTCAATGTATGAATGTAAAACGAAATTTTTTGCGTCCCGGAAATTCAGTCCTCTCCAGAAGCAATTAATTTTAACGAAAAAAGGGAAAGCACATTCCGAGCGTGAGATTCTGCGTCGAATGATCTGTTATCCCTGTCTCATTTGATCACTAAATTCGATAAGTTGAAAAAACGCAACACTAGCTGGCTTCTATTGATCTTTTAGAAAATTCGAAGATTCTAATAACTTCAAAAATTCCCTTAAAAAAGAAAGGAAACGGATTTTTTGTAAAGCATTACAATCATTTTCTCGAAAGCTTACAATCATTTTCAGGATTTCCTTTCAAATCGTCACCGGCCATCTCATTCTAATCTCAATGCCAACATATTCATAGTTATCTAGCCATCTAGCTATCTAGCCATCTAGCTATCTAGCCATCTAGCCATCTAGCCATCTAGCTATCTAGCCATCTAGCCATCTAGCTATCTAGCCATCTAGCCATCTAGCCATCTAGCTATCTAGCCATCTAGCTATCTAGCTATCTAGCCATCTAGCTATCTAGCCATCTAGCCATCTAGCCATCTAGCTATCTAGCCATCTAGCTATCTAGCTATCTAGCCATCTAGCCATCTAACTATCTAGCTATCTAGCTATCTAGCTATCGATTTTTTGTAAAGCTTACAATCATTTTCAGGATTTCCTTTCAAATCGTCACCGGCCATCTCATTCTAATCTCAATGCCAACATATTCATAAAAATTTGAATATAAACTTGAAATAAATCTTTATTATTAATTAAATCTTTATTATTAATTAATTTTTAAAAATTATGGATATCATACATTGCTTGAAGCTATTTAAAAAATTATATAAAGTCAAACAAAAAAAAATTTTTTTTTTTAATCTTTTGGTGAGTTGTTGTTGATCGATTGTCATCTAAATTGGTGATTGATTGGTTTAAATTGGTCATTAAACCAATTCATTGAACTAATTCATTGAACTGATTCATTTACAATCGTCTAATTAGATATTTAGATTAGGGTAACAGGTACAGGCTGCCTTTAAAATCATTGAAACCAAAACCTCGTTTCCTTTTTTGATTAACTTTTCGATTTTTTTGTTTCTTATAGAAAAAAGGCGTAAAATGCAAATTATTATTAAATAATATTAAATAATATTAAATAAACAATTGCATATTGAGATATTTTCAAGAAAAAAGTGCTGCTTTACTGCTTTTAAGCACACAAAACAAAAGGCTTTCAATGAGGCAACCTCAAAAAACGATGAGGAAACTGTTTCAAAAGTTATGTGAACGAAATTACCTGGATTTTATTAGCTATAATGCTATTAGCTAAATGAATTCAGCTAGATTGCTCACTCTGGAATACTCAAAAAAGCAAAAAAGCAAAAGAAAAACCTCCTCAAAAACCACATTCAAACATTGACTTCAATAAGAAAATCACTTTAGAAAGCTTTAAGCTACGTATCTTTCTTTATCTAGCTGTCTAGACTATCTAGCGTCAGTATCTAGCTGTCAGTTATCTAGCTATCTAGCTGTCTAGCTGTCTAGCTGTCTAGTTATCTAGTTATCTAGCTGTCTAGCTATCTAGCTGTAGTATCAGTTATCTAGCTGTCTAGCTATCTAGCTGTCTAGTTATCTAGCCGTCTAGCTATCTAGCTATCTAGCTGTCTAGCTGTCTAGCTGTCTAGTTATCTAGTTATCTAGCTGTCTAGCTATCTAGCTGCTAGTATCTAGTTATCTAGCTGTCTAGCTATCTAGCTGTCTAGCTATCTAGCTGTCTGTTATTGCTGTTGTTTCTGTTTCTGCTGTCTAGCTATCTAGCTGTCTGTTTCTGTTTCTAGCTGTCTAGCTGTCTGCTGTCTAGCTGTCTGCTGTCTAGCTGTCTAGCTGTCTTTCTGTTTCTGCTATCTATTGGGTTGGGGAGATGGTCGGCGCGAATCAATTTAAAACTTATAGCAGACTTTTCAAATGTATGCTTTGTTCCGTGAGGTAACTAATTCTTCAATGTATTTAAAGGAACTTAACACCCTCAACTCGGTCTTTTTTCACTCGTACTGTCTCTGGTCGGTTGGGGTCTTCCTGATTTGTACTTATGTATTGGTGTGCTCTTTCTTTTTATATAAACACCAAGGTTTTGTGGGAACTGTTCAAGCAATGGTTGGCTTTTTGTCATTTTGTTACTGTGTTTGGGATTAATCCCAAAAATTTGTCTCTTAAACCATTTTTAGTGTGGACCATTTTGTGAAACAGTGTATTTGTTTTTGGCGTTTCTTTTTTCGGCGCCGACTCTTCTCCCCACCCATGTTTCTGTTTCTAGCTGTCTGTTTCTAGCTGTCTGTTTCTAGTTTTAGCTTCTGTTTCTTTTTCTGCTGTTTGTTTTTGCTATCTAGTTTCTGTTTTCTAGCTGTCTGTTTTCTACTTTTTTGTTTCTAGCTTTCTACTGTCTGCTGTCTGTTTTGCTGTTTTGTTTCTAGCTTTTTGCTGTCTGCTGTCTTGTTATCTAGCTGTCTGTTTTCTGCTTTCTGCTGTCTAGCTGTTTTTCTAGCTTTCTGTTTCTAGCTTTCTGCTGTCTGCTGTCTGTTTTCTGCTTCTGTTTCTGCTTTCTGCTGTCTGCTGTCTGTTTCTGCTTCTGTTTCTGCTTCTAACTACCTGCTATCTGCTTCTAGCCATCTAGCCATCTAGCCATCTAGCCATCTAGCCATCTAGCCATCTAGCCATCTAGCTATCCAGCTATCTATCTATCTATCTATCTAGCTATCTACCTATCTTCCCTTTCCAGCTTCAATCACTTCTCAATGAGTTTTAAGGAATCCTTTAGAATTCGAATTGATAAGTTACCGTAATCTAATAAGTATTTCGGTTTTTCTTGCTTTAAGACAAAATATTCAATCACTTACTGTAGTTTTGATGGGTTTTTTTTGGGTTTAATGGGTTATGGTAGGCGAGTTTACTGTAGCTGTAGTGATTCCCTGACGTTGCGCGTTTCGAATCCATCCCCAGAGATCTACCTAAACGATGCTTTAAGCCGGAAAGGAGTGGTTTAAAAAATTTTAAAAACCTTCTGTCAAAAAGAAAACAAATTGTGACAGATTTTAGCCCTTTTAAGCAAAAAGTACACACGCGAACCTGATTCTTCGGTGCTCTTTGGGCTGTGAGAGGTGGCAGAGCCGGGGTTGACGGGCGGAAGAACGGCGCTTTCGTTGCTTGAGCTTTCGTTGATTGAGCTGTAGTTGACGTTGTCCAAGTAGGAGAGCTTGTTGGCTAAACTACTTTATCCCTTAACCACTCAAGAAATGAACCTGCACGATTTCTACAACTCGCAGATCCTCGATTCCATCACTTGGCTGATAGTGGACTGGAGCTGAAAAGATCTTGAGCTTAATCTTGATCTAGACCTTGAGGAGATCTTGATTTAGATCTTGAACTTGAGGAGATCTTGATCTTGTTCTTGATCTTGATGTGGATCTTGATGTGGATCTTGATTTAGATCTCAATCTCGCTCTTGTTCTTGATCTAGATCTTGATCTTGATCTCGTTCTTGATCTTGTTCTTGTTCTTGACCTTGAGGAGATCTTGATCTTGATTTATATCTTGATCTTGATCTAGATCTAGATCTAGATCTAGATCTTGTTCTTATTCTTGATCTAGCTCTTGATCTTGTTCTTGATCTTTATCTAGACTTAGACCTAGTTCTTGTTCTAGATCTAGATCTAAATCTAGACCTAGTTCTTGTTCTAGATCTAGCTCTCAATCTTGATCTTGTTCTTGTTCTTGATCTTTATCTAAACCTAGTTCTTGTTCTAGATCTAGATCTCAAAATTCATGAGAAAAGCTCTATTAAATGCTCAGTTACAGTTGGGATTTTGATAAAGTCAATAGGAACTATTAAAGCTTCTTAGGGAAGCTTTAATAGTTCTGTGATTTAGCTAGGGCCTTGAAAAGGCTCAAGCTCAAGGTCAAAGTTAAAAAGCTCAAATTTTAACAAATTTCACTTAAAAAACCCACTTTTCGGGATTTCGCTTCTCTCCGGAACACGATTCGTTTCCAATTCTTGCCGAGAACGAGTTTCTGTTGTTGTTGTTACAGCCAATTCCGGAGCCTTCAACTTCAACGGCCTCGAGAGGGGGGTCAGGGTGGAAACTGGAAATGTCAGGGAAACTGGAGCTGTAACAGATCAACGAAAGAAGTAGGACATAGGCAGTGATTAGCCGAGTCAGCCAATCTCAATTTAGCCAATGATTAGCCGCGTTAAAATCAAACTCTTTCTACGTAGTCAACCACAAATTGTGGTCTGTTTTTGAGTGAATCGAAAACATTTGTGAACTCACCCAAATGAAACGGCAATGCGGCATGGAAAAGTGTTTGATCCCTTGTCCACGCGGCTGCTTCAGTCGGCATTTCCTGACTGGTAACCTCTGTAAACCTTAACGCAAAAACGAGTTTTTGAAAATCATCTATGAGTCTAGTAAGTGGAAAAGTTTGAAATTTCAAAGTTTAAATTTCAAAGTTTAAATTTCAAAGTTGAAATTTCAAAGTTTAAATTTCAAAGTTCAAAGCTTAAAGTTCAAATCTCAATGCTTCAGTCGGCATCTCCTGACTGGTAAACTCTGTAAACCTTAACGCAAAAACGAGTTTCAATTGGAAAATCAGCTACGAGGAGCTGGAAAAGTTGAAATTTCAAAGTTTATTATTGTTAAATCTCTAGTGTTAAGCAAAAGACTTTCAGTCTTTTCTCTAATCAATTTTCTTTTCCTCAAAACAAAACTCACGGCATTCTCGTGGTGCTGATTTGTTGGATTTGTTGGACTTGTTGGATTTGTTGGACTTGTTGGAGTTGTTGGCTTTGCTGGACTTGTTGCCCGTCATCCTCGTCTTTCAAATATTCCATTTCCGTATAGTAATCATCGTAATTTATCAGCTTTTCTTTTTTCGTTAATCCCTCCAAATAATCTCCATGAATTATTTGTATTTCAATTGATTCATCATCATTTAATTGAGTGCGAGGCTGGTGATGCCTAGACAGTCTACTGTACTTTTCACTCATCTTGTTCTAGGCTACAGTCCCCTAGCTTCCCCCCCCCCCCCCCCCCCCCCCCCCCCCCCCCCCCCCCCCCCCCCCCCCCCCCCCCCCCCCCCCCCCCCCCCCCCAACCCCCCCCCCCCCCCCAACACCACCCCCCCCCCCCCCCCCCCACAAACCCCCCACCCCCAACAAAAAAAAAACACCCCCCCCCCCCAACCACCCAAACCCCCCAGCTTCTAATCAGCTACAGACTCTAGCTTCTGATCAGCTACAGTCCCCTAGCTTCTGATCAGCTACAGACTCTAGCTTCTGATCAACTACAGACTCTAGCTTCTGATCAGCTACAGT